CACAACAGTCTGCTATAATTTGAAAAGAGTTTAGGTTTTTTTGTATCCAGTGGTGACCTGAGTACTGACTGCAGACTAAAGTAATAGTTTGCAATATGTAAATACACTTAGGAAAACCTGATTTTTACTGATTTTTATACTAAAGATGTTTGCAGTAATTTCCTAATGGCTATAATTTGATAGAGATTTCTTTGATCTTTGTCACTTTATTTTGACCATTTTCCTACCCATCTCTACATCCTGCTGTAAAGGGCTCCTGTAAGACTAAGCACACAAGTCAGTGCAGTAGGTAGAAGGGAAAAGGACAGCCAGTTCGGAGCTTAAACGTGACTGGGCCAACATGAGAACCTTCCTCTGTTTGGATATTCAGCTTTCCCTGACGCATGTGCCATAACTAATCTGGCATATTCTGAAAAGGTGCACCTGAAATGGATCTGAATAAAACTGAAAACAATTTTCAGTCCTCAAAGGAGGTGACTTAGTTTTGCATTAGCTATAGCACATTGACTCTTCTTTTAAACAGTCACCGCACCCTGTCTGTGTTGTATTTTTGATTCTTCTGTAACTTGTTTTCTTTTTCTGCAAAGGGTTTTTTGGTTCTGTGTATTTTAATGTCTTTTATCTTAAGCTCTGTACAATTTGAGCCATTACTAATTTAGTGTCTTTTTCCTTGATGTTTATAGCACTGCTGAATTAATTTTCCCCCATTGCTAAAACAAACACAATGGGAATCCCCTAGCCACAGCACCGTTCTATTGTTTAATGTAGCGAGATGAAATTCTACACCATTGCATTTTTTCCACCATAATTATGCACCTTAAAAAATATATTACCAAAATTAGAACATTTACTTTGTTTTGAGTGAGCCCCGGTCCTGCTTTCACTAAATCAATGAAATGAACTCAGGTTGAATTGCTGAATGCTCTCCCTTTTCTTTAGGCTGCATTGAATATTTTAAAGTTGCTGTCTGAGTTGGACCAACAAACCACAGAGATGCCAAGAACGGGAAATGGACCAATGTCTGTGTGAGTGTGACCCATTGACTTTCGTTCCATTAATGGAAACCTCTAACCCTATGATGTTCTATAACCAAATAAAATGTGAGGGTTTTTTCCTTTGCCAGAAAAGTTAAAACGCCAAGGGTGTTACCTGCTTCAGAAGGATGAGAGGGTAGGTTTTATGATCAAGCTCACAGCTTTCATGTGTCAAATCCAAATTACTAAGCGGGAGCAAGTGCATAAAATGTAATGGCTGTGATACAAAGCAATCCTGACTGTGATCCCTCTCCTTAAACTATTTGTTTGCATATATTTGTAAATAGTGTGACTTTTCAGTGTGTGTGTTACAGCTGCTCCTCTCTTTCTAGAAACCTCTGTATGTAAACTGTAACAAATGTGTAGGTTTCACAGCTTGCTGGATGGGTTGCAAATTACTCCCTTTGACCAGAGCAGGTCTGGGGGTGGGGGGGAAGATTTTATCCTCTCATTTAGATAATATGCTGTCAAAATGGTGGAATTAACAAAGTGCTAATTGATTCAAAATGGAGGCCAGTTACATGGAAACAAATTGTTATATGCATCTCCGATTTAGAAGCATCTTATTCTTGGAAATATTTGGTTTTTATCCTAAGTAACAGGTGTTTTCTCATTTGTAGATGTGTGAAACAAGAAATGGAAAGTGACCCTCTTCTCAAACCGGCTAACTCAAACACTTTGGGACAAACACTGGACAGCACTGCCTAAAAAAGGCTTTTGACTGGACCCAAACCTGAAAGCACCAGAGAAAATCAAATGCTTCCTATTAATGTAACCTAACTGTTTTAGAGTGCTACAGTCTTTACAACCTACTGTAGTGTCTAAATCATAACCATTGCTTTTTCTTCAAACAGTGATAAATTTTTAGTTTCATTATGTTGTTTTGATTGAAATGACACTATAAATTCTTCATTTTAAAGTTTCTTAATTGTATCTAGAACAATAGCACAGTTTAGAAACTTTGTCTTCTGAGACTGACATGTTATCTGTGAACTAACTTGGGAAGATCATATCCATGTATGTGGTTATTTTGTTTTTATTGAAATAGCAAAGTTTCACTGGAAACAAATTGTGTGCCCACCATTTTAAAAAGTCCAACATTTTCTCAAAGCTAGCTTAATTATCCAACGGTTGAATGAATTAAAACACTTTAGGAATTTTAAACTTTTTTTGATCATTTTTGGTTAATTTCTAGTTTTCTTGAGTGGGGGGGTAGGGGAACTCGAATGCAACATGACTTTAAATGATCTCTGATCTATGTTTTAAGGATTGTGTGTATAGATGGCACACAGCTCACTACATTACAGGATATGATCTCAATGTAGTGCATATAAAACCGCAGATTGATTTTCCTTGAGTGCTTTATACTGTTTAATTACATCTCCATGTAGGGCTGAGAAAAATTACCTATGTTTATATATAAACTGTGTTGCTTTTGATGTTGTGTTATTGTGCACTGAAGTGTGCACAATAAAGTTTTTTGCATATGGTCCAGGTAAAGCACGATAGCCTTGCAAGTTAAGTACTGCTTCAGTTCATTGTTTACGCTGGAATTTTTTCTCCCCATGGAATGTAAGTAAAACGTAGTGTTTGTCACCAATAAATGGTAATACTAAATTTTTTTGGTTAATTTATTCTTGTATGCCACTACAGGGGCTGCTTTTTTATAGGATTTGTAATGCTTGTGATATAGTACGGGCAGTATTGTAAAGCTATGGAGTAACTGTACAATGGTTATCAATTACATATAAATAACTACTATTTAGTAATGTGGAGAATGTGAAAACCTGGCAAGGTCAAGGAAATTCAAAAGTAACGTGGGTACATTTTGTTATTTGTGCCACAGTGTGTTAGTGCAACTGTATTAATGGGAGCTTAAACTAAAGTTATGATTATGACAAGAAACCTGGCACAACAGGTTGGTATGATTTCAAAGTTTAAGTCTCTACTTTTAAGTTTCCTTGTTTGCTTGTAATTTGAGTCATAACCTTGCCTTGCACTTAGTAATTTTTGGGGGGTAGTACTTTCAAAACAAAACAAAACTTTCCCTCTAGCAACAAAAACTGACACCATAGACTGACGCGTGACAGTGTATCATTTGGATGTGAACTACGTTCCGTGTGTACTTAACTGGTAATCTGTAGCAGCACTTTCTAAACACCCGTTTGCAGTGTGTGTAGTAACGCTTGTCACAGAAAGCAGTTACTGCATGTGCTGTGTCTCAAAGCTAAATGTCTCGGCCATTTTCTTTGCATTATCAAAAGCAATTGGGCCACATTAACTGCATACCAAATTTTATTGAATCAAGTTGGTTTTGATCATTATAAGCGCAAAAAACATTGCAAAGTTTTTTGGTTTTCTGGTTTTTGGGTTTTTTTTTTTTTTTACATTTGTAGAACTAAAATGCTGTACATTTAAAAATTAAACGAAACTTGCTGGGCTGAGGCTTTGTATTGCAAATTCTTACAATTTAGAAACTACCTACCAAACAATATGTATTGGAAAACAGATACCATGTTGATAGTGGTGTAAATGATCTCCCTATGTTTATCCACTGCTACTTAGGAGTTTTCTCTTCAGATGGGACTAGAGCGCATTCTTCTGATTGTTCTGCAGCATTCATTTGTTGATAATCCTATGTTTCATATGAACCCTAATTAAGGTACTTTCCCATAGATACGTCTGTTTCAATACTCTTAAATGCATCTATCATCTTAGAGGTGCTATGTAAGAGAAGGTTCTTCTGTCAAAGACCTTGTAATCCCAGCCTCATGATGGAAGACTTCAGGTCGCTGTGTGGACTCTAGGTAAGCCAAAGTGAGTTCTAGATAAAAGTGTGGTTTTTCTAGAGCACTACAATCGCTTGCTTTTTCAGTTGTCTTCTCTGTGCTTGATGCAGCAAAGGCTAGGAAGAACCTGAAGGCTTTATATGACGCTTTTGTTCAACAGATACTAAAATGTTCTGCAAAGAATACAAATATAAGAAAACAGGTGAAGGTGAAATTCTCTGACTGCAGTAGACCAGCAGGCTGGTACTGGTATAAAGCGTACATTTCTGGGTACTAGCAAAGTGCTGTCTGCAAGACACCTCACCTTTTTGGATTCTTTCTTTGAACTTTTTACTTTCGTTTTTGATCTTAAGAAACCTTTTGACTGCAAGTGAATGAGCTGGAGCTTCTGAATATAAGCATCAGCGCACATTAGCTTGGGCTTCGTGCCACACATTTCAGTAGTGATCCCATTATAGAAAATTTAAGGATAGGGTCTGTTCCAAAATTACTTTCTCATATTCAGTTCTTAATTGGTTAGGGTTGTTCTCCCACAAGTGGATTTTACCAAACGTTTTTCTCCCCATTATCTTATTTGACTGCTTAAATTACCACAAACATTTTAGTAAATTAATACATTTTTTTTCTGTGTTTCTCCAAAAGTATTTGGCAATATGGCAGTACTAATCTGAGTGTTCCAGAATCTGCTGTGCATTTAGTAAATTGTGAAATTTTGCACTCAAAATGTTCAGGTCAGTTCAGCTACAGAGAACTTCCCTTTAATCACTTCAAAATGGGAGTAAGGAAAACAAAGTTCTTAGTCTGATCTATCGGGCTTGTAACTATTGTGCTAACAACAACTGAGATAGTGATCTTGTTTCTTTTCAGAATTTACCAGTTACTATCCCAGCCTCTTACATCATGCCCTTAGGCCACTGCTTCAAATGCAGAGGAAGGAGGTTTGATCCTAAGGGGCTTCCGCTCCTGATTTAGTAACTTGTAGCTGAGGGCGATTCCTGAGGAGGCAGGTCGCTGGGGGACGGGAGATAGGATGTGGCAGAACGAGTCACTGAATTTAGTGCATTTCAGCCTTGCTCATTTGGACCTTCTTTAATGCCTGCCCATCCTAATTCCAAATGTGGAGCATACAGGCTCAAAGGAAGTAGCTGAGGAGTTTGGAAACCAGATTCTGGAAATATTTATATTCATTTTCCAGTAGTTCAGCTTGTAAATAAGATCAGCAGAGACCAGATGGCGTAGGCAACACAGTTTCCTTCACCAAAGAAACTGTCCTGTCTGCCTGTACTCCCTCACTTGCCTAGACTTTGGCAGACTCCAGTCTCCATGTTGTTATTTTCTCCTACCGGAAAGAAAGCACTCATTGCCGCTTTCTCAAATTTCAAAGGCTTAAGCCAATGTCTAATTTCTAGCAGCTTTTGCATTGCTTTTCTTCAGGCCTTTTCTTATTCTTAGAAGTATACAGCTGCACTTAGTAGTGGCTCTTGTCAAAGGAATAATGCTGTGCCACTGTTCTTTGAAGAGGTGCAGTCGAATGTCTCTGTTTCAGTGCCCTGCGTAAGAACCTCATAAGTGGCTCTGTAGGTGTGATGCCTATGAAACCTGACAAATGAAGCCTTTCCCAGCTCTCTGTTATCAAGCTTAAAGACTGCTGCTCAAGTCTCCTATTTTAAGTAACAAGTTGCATTCTGAAGTTGGTGTACAAGAAGGAAGGTTGTCCATATTCATCCAGGGATTTTGGAGTATTGTCTGCTTTCCTGAATGGGTCAGTTTGGTATCCCTGAGACAAAAAACTGCATCACATGAAAGTGAAAGGGGAGTGATGACAATTGGTCAGGGTACTTCTTTAAAGCAGAATATTTTATTTGTTAGCAGGAAGTTCTGACTCCCCAAAGGAAGAAACATGAATTTTCATGATACATCATTCTTGGCTTCGGTATGGAGATCTTAAAGAAAAGAAGGATTTGTGCAAAAATTATTTTTGGGAATGCTAACCTGTAGGATAGCTAAAATGTGCCTACAGAATGAGCAGCAGCCTGGATTCACTGCAATACCTGTTCGTTCCATAGTACTAAAATACATTCACATAACTTGCTGTTGTTTTGTTTTAGGCTATAGACAGCTGATACTTCCTTAGGTTAAATCCTGTCTGAAAGGACTCAGCTGGGGAATCTAGAGTCAGCAGGGTAGTTATTCTTGTTGTCAATTCTCTGGCCAAATTTTAGTACCATACATCAGAGTTAAATGTGGCTGTACTCGGAGTTCCACTGCAATTCTTATGTTACCTAAGGATCAAACCAAAATTCTGTTGTAAGCCACTGATCAAACTTAATAGTTTTATTCTGTCCTAATGTACAAAGACAAATGGTGGAGGTTTCAAAAGTGCCTAACTGCAGGGAGGGATATGATGCGTGTATACCACTTCACTAATTGTGTTCTGTGAAGCAACCACATAATTGTTTGCTGGTTTTATTTTGTAAGTCTGCAGATAGAAACCGACAGAATAAGCGTGAATCGGTGTGGTATCTTCCTTAAGGGTTCCTATAGTTAAGTGATTTTATTTAGATGACTCCTCTGTTTAAGGTCAGACAAAGAAATGCTGCTCCAGAGGTGGTTACAAACCTGAAAATACTCAACTTCATCTCTGTGGCTGTGACATGCTGTATTGCTTCCCTTTATCTGCTGATTGGATGCGTACACTTATTTAATACCCAGGAACTTCTGAGCAAGAACCTGAATGGAAGGAGGCTGGGAAAAAAAATTAAGTTGTTAAAGCAAATTAAAATTTTGAGGGTATTCATTTAATCTCTGGATTAGAACTGAATAAAAGCATACAGATGAATAATACTTATCCAAGAGTTGCATTTTATTCTCCGACAAAGCAAATTTTTTTTGTATAGCACTATCGGTATCCTAAAGTAACAAAATTGTACTTGATTAGAAATGAAAAAAAATTGTAATGCTTTTAAACTTTACTCATTCTCACACTTCCAACTTCACAGTATTTTTTAGCAACCTGCTAATACAGGATGGTTTAGATTTTAAATGTCCCGCGTTAATGATGCAGAAAATACCCTTCACAGAGTATGCTTTCAATATGTTCATTCTCTGCTACCATTCTTTTATTTATCTTTACTGTTTCCAACTGAAAGATAGTCTTTTATGTTTAAATGCTGCTTTTTTTTTTTTAATTGTTATTTTTTCCAGAAGGGAGATTAGCACTCCCAAAGAAGGCAATCCCAACCCTGTGTTCAGGGACAAAACCTCTGATACATTTCATGTCAAAGTCCAAATGCAAAATCTGTTTGGAGGCAACTGGGCACCTCTGCAGACACTAATCCCTGTTCCCCCTTTTATCATGGGTGCAATCTCCCAGATTGCTGTTCTGCCATTTTAAAGCCACAACCAAGTACAACACAGTAGGGATATCTATTGTGGTCTGATTGCTAAGTGTTGCTTTTATTGTTTTCACACAGTAGCTTCGTTTTAACTGAGACGACTATTTAGCTCTTGCCTAGAAAAAACAATTGGGAAAGGAAGGCACCACTGGAAAAATAAATCCATCAGTAGCTTGTTATAAATATGATTCAGTATAACTGTGCTACAAACTGCCATGGCATTTGCATAAAAAGTTTGTAAATTCCCTTTAAAGCTTGTTAAGTAGATAACAGAGGAGCTTATGTATTAAAATGTTGAGCCACCAAGTTATTTAATTACTAAAGTGGATAAAAACTTGAAGAAAATGTGCTACTTCAAACTCACAAAGGCTAAATACATTTAAATAATTGTCTCCCCTAAGTATTCTTAGCAATAACTTGTGCTTTCTCTCGT